TGCATCAGGGATCTTGAGCTGAAGAATCAGCACTGGTCCGTATCACATGGCGAGGATGAGCGTCCCACTCTCCTGAGGTCTCTCACCGTGTCCCACACAGGAAGGACACCAGTGGAGGCTGGCAGTTTGTGAGGGGAGGAACCTCTTGTTCCAAACAGTGTCCTCCTGGTAAGGCAGAACCCACCCTGATCCTCTCCCCACATGGCTAGGGGCTGGGACAGCAGGCATACATTTTTAGTTCTGGTCACTATCTTCAGGGTGTGTGTTTGTGTATGTGTGTGTGTGCGTGTGCACACTTGTGTATGTTGCATGTGGATGCATATGCGTGTGTGTGCATGTGCGTGTATGGGTGAATGTGGGTGTGTGTGCATATGTATGTGGATGTGTGTGCATGTGTATTATGTTGATGGGTGCATCTGTATGTATGTTTCTGTGCATGTGAATGTGCGTGCATGTAGATGTGTGTATAGGTGTATAATGTGGATGTGTATGCATGTGTGGGGATGTGTGGATGTGGCTGTGTGTGCATGTGGATATGTGTGTGTGTATGTGTGTGTGTATGTGAATATGGGTGTGTTTATGTGAATGTGTATGCATTTGCGTGCACGTGTGTACATATGTGTGTATGTGTTCTTGTGTGTGTATGTGTATGCATATGTGTGGGTGTGTGTGCATATGGATGTGTGCGTGTGTGCATGCATGTGTGCATGTGGGTGGGTGTATGTGGATGCATGTGCATGTGTGTGTGGCTGTGTTGCATGCATGTTCATAATATGTGTGCATTGTGTGCATATGTGTGAGTGTGGGGGGGTGCATGTGGATGTGTGTGCATGTGTGCATGCATGCGCACGTGTGTGTGGGTGTGTGTGCATATGTGTGCATGTGTGTGTGGATATGCGTGCATGTGGATGTGTGTGCGTGCATGTGTACATGTGTGTGCATGTATACGTGTGTGCGTGTGTGTGTGCATCTGTGCCTGTGTTGTCTGTTTTGGGGGGGACCGTGCTACCACTTTCCTCAGCATGGCGTCTGAGCGGTCAGGAGGCCTGCAGCCCCGTTCAGCAGCGTGTTCCTGTGTATAATGTGCTTTGCGAACACACTTCAGACTTCTGGCTGCACGCGGACTGCCACCTCCACGTCCTCCCCTATGGGAACTCACGGCACGGAGCAGTGGGCCCGCTAGCATTACACAAGGGGCCAGTTTGTCGTATTCTTAGTGCAACCGAGCACCTTTAATTTGCCCTTTGGGGGGTTCAGTCTGTCCAGCAGCCCGGGGCAGGGGGGTGATGGGAAGGGCTTCTCCTCTACCGTGGCTTCGTGATTTTGGGGTGGTCCACTCTCCAGCTCGGTGCGCAGCGTGGCCGCCCCTCTTGAGAGAGCAGGGGGACAGAGAAAGAGAACAAGAACCATGGTACCTTGCGTATGCCCGGCACTCTGTGGTGGTGAAGCCCACCGGTGTCTCTCCAGCCCTGTTCGGAGCAGTTTACAGGCACCTGATGTGAAGTTCACACCAGCAAGGGGAGTGTTACCGGCCCTTTCTGGGGTCTTCGGACGAAGACAGGGACGAGTGTGCGGCTCTGCGGGTGGGGGCTGTGGTGTGGGACGGCGCTGGAGGCAGGGCCAGCCCTGGGCTTCGAGGCTGTGCGGCAGCTCCTCCGTGCAGCTGCCATCGGCCCTGGGCAGCAGCGGGCATGGGACGTGGGAACACAGATGCAGAGACCCTGCACCACCTCCCTCGATGGCCGAGCTGGAACCAGCAGGAGATGGGGGAGAGGAACCATCCGTGAGGTGAGTTAGGTCACCGTGCATGGCACAAAGGAGGGACTGACCTTGGGCCTCTCTGGATGCTGGGTTGGAGGAGGAAGGAACCTGCCTCTGCACCCCTACCAGGTGCCGCTGCTGATTTCGCTCACTCTGCCTGGTGTAAGACCCCTGGCCCCCCATCCTTGGGGAGGGCAGTGGCAGGTGCACTGCACCCAAGCCTTCTGATGATTTGCTTTGCTCATGGGTCTGCAAGGTCGTCAACCCCCCCACGGGCCTGGGGTAGCCTGTGTGAGGGGTGGTGTAGAGGGTACTTGGGAGAGGGGCCACACGGAACCTTCGGAGAACCCCATAATTTACATTTTAATGGCTTCTCAACACTTACACTCTTGAATTTCACCTTAAGATCAGAGGTCTTTGCCAGAAAGCAACTAAACCAATAAAGCAGAAAGGCAGTGCAATTGCCAAAAGATGCCATCGATGAAACCTAAGACGATGTGGGTCCTACAGAAATAAAGTCCTGGAAGGGCTGAGCTGTGCCCGCCCCTTCTCACCTTAATTAGATATGATTTATATCAACAGAGAACTTTCATGTGACCCTAACTGAAAAACAGCCGACGGGTGAGTCCCCGGTAGGACATTAGATCCGTTTGGCAAAGAGAGGCGTCTATAGTACCCCTTGCATCCAACCACCTACCCGGTGGCTCCTCCCTCCGGGTCTGGAAGGTTCACTTTGCCCTTCCGGCCTCTTCCTGCTGGCCCTGAGCATGCAGTGTGCAGGGTGGGGAGGTGGGGGGTGGTTGGAACAAAGACAGCAGTTCTCACTCTAGAGCCTTCCGTGCAGGCACGTGGCAGAGGGGTGGGGTTTCCACGGCCACTTTCCCTGTGAGGAGCTTTCCTAAAGGAGAAGGGAGGCCACCGGCTCACTCCTGGGAGGTGTGCCTGCCAAGTGTCCTTTTAGAGAGAAGGGAGAAGGCCACACGAGACCCTGTGCAGTGCTCTGCTCGCAGTGTCCCAGAGACCTGTCCAGGAGCCCCCACGGGGAGCAGCCCCCACCTGTCTCTCTGTCTCTGTCTTCTGTTTCTCTCTCCCTCTGTCTCTCCTTCTCTGTTTCCTTCCCCCTGTCTGCAGTCTCCCCTCCCATCTCTCTCTGTCTCTCTTTCTGTCTCTCTCTCTTTTTTTGGGGGGGGGGGTTGCCCCCTGTCTCTCCCTCTGCCTCTGTCTCCATCCCCCTCTCTGGCTCTGTCCCCCTCTCTGACTCTGTCCCCCTCTCTGACTCTGTCCCCCTCTCTGTCTCTGTCCCCTCTCTGGCTCTGTCCCCCCTCTTTGGCTCTGTCCCCCACTCTGTCTCTGTCCCCCTTTCTGACTCTGGCTCTGTCCCCC